AGTTTCTTTAAAAAATTTATAGTTCAAAGGGACAAAGAAAAGAATTGTGATTAAAAAGGTGTTTTTTGGTTTTTTTTTGCTTTGTTTTAAATAAGCTCTCTGAGAAAAAGAAGGCAGGGATCCTAGATTCAGGCAGACCCAGTCCAAAGTTCTGTCAAATAGAGGGGACATTAAGGCCCTGTTGATAAATTAGTAATAAAACCCATCTCATTCTTAAGGGAAGAAATCAAAATAGATCAGTTGTTTCAATTTTGTTTTTCATAAAACAGGTCAAAATTTCAAAAATTTAAAAAATGTATAATGACAGCTAAATGCTTTTAATTAATTTAAACATTGATTGAATATAGTTTATATATATATATATATAATTTTCCAAAGAAGATTGAATATAGTTTATATATATATAAAAATTTCCAAAGAAGATAATATACTCTCATAGAGATATATGAATGAATATTTGTTAAAAATTATGTTATTCATATAATATGAAGTGCGAGGCTGATAGACATTATATTTGATTCAGAAAAAGGGTCAAAAAGCAGAGTTACAGTACATGAAGGAGTGTTGAATGTTTTGCAAGGGCAGACAAAACTGGTTCTTCCACAGGTGGGGTTAAGGGGAATGTCACTACCAGGTAGGAGTGAATTAAGTGTCTATCAATAACCTACAACCTGCAAATAGTTACCAAGTAACTCAAAGATAGTGAACAAGACTAGAATCTGTTTTTCTTAAATGAAAAGAATAGATGATGATATCTATAATAACACCACATCAAAATATCATTGCAAAGTTGCCATTCAATAACTATTCAAATATTGAATAATTTTAAGAATATTTTGAAGATTAATGTGCTATTGAGTTTTTTAAAAGATATTTGTTTATTTTTTAGAGAGAGAGGAAAGAGAGGGAGAGAAACATCAATGCGTGGTTGCCTCTTGCACATCCCCTACTGGGGACCTGGCCTGCAGCCCAGACATGTGCCTTGACTGGGAATCTAACCCCTTGATCTTTTGGTTTGCAGACCACTACTCAATCCACGGAGCCACACCAGCACCAACCAGGGCAGTGTGCTAATCTTTATTAATGGTATTATTTGCTGTTCTGGGAAAACTAACAATTTAGACTAAGGTAGAAATAAACAAACATGGCTTAGCTAATTAAGGTTATTTAGAAATGTAATTGATAATTTATTTTTCTTTTTTAAAGTTTATTTTTATTGTTGTTCAAGTACAGTTTTCTCCATCCCCCCAACTCCCTTGCACCCCAGCCATCCCCACCTCCCACCCTCGATCCCACCCCTCCTTGGCTCGGTGTGTCCTTTATAGATGTTCCTAGAAACACATTTAAATCTTATGATACCCTTACACACTATATTATACAGAGCATGTTAATATAGTATATCTTTTTCTCTTTGTTTTTCTAAGTGCCATATAACTACAAAACTACAAAGCAGACTACAATGAACACACTATGTGTGTGTAGGCTGATTTTGGGGGAGAAAGGAAATCATTAAGCTGTATAGTTACATCACCATCCCCTGTTGTATAGTAATACAAAGATCACACTGGAATAGCTGTTTGTCTACTTCGCCAATTTGAGTAAAGATGTAATAAAAGTGAGAGCCAACAGGAGTAAAATAGTCTCACGTGTGTCTTAAATGTTCTTATTGGAGTGGAGAAAGACAGCACTCTTATTGCTCTTAAATCCCTTCCTTATTTTTTCTGAGCGCTCCTCTGTGCACATTCAAGCTCAGCAGGGACTTTCAAAAGGAGGCAATAGAGAAGAGACTTGAAAAACCAATATCTGAATAATTTAGGTAGCAATAAGGAGATCTGGGAGTCATTAAGGCAATATCTAAGAGCAAGAGCTTCAAATTTTGAGTGCTATTCGTAAGAGATCCAAAATAAAGCAATCAGAAATTCCCTTATAGGCCTGGAGAGTGAAACTGCAGAGCTTATCCATTCTATGAAGTGCTCCAGTTGGTTATGCTTAGAGCAAAAACCTGCCTTTACAAATGCCTCCAAATCACAGGCACCTGTGAGCAGCTGTTTTTTTTCCTTTTTTTTAAATGAGGTAATCTGTATTTGGACTAAGAACAGTGACCTGTTATTCATGCAGTTTAATTTACTATGGTATTGTGTTTATCATTACAATGTCAGTATCATCATGCCGGTCTTTAAAAGTGAATTAACATTTTGCTACCTGCCAAACCCTTCCTGACATTCACCACCTATCACTTCACAAAAAAGAACCATGTATTTACATGCAAACATTTCAAAACTTGAGAAATGGTAGCATTTATTATGGCAGATGTGTATGAGAGGCTGAGATAAATTTATTCAGCAAAACTGAGGGTCAAATGGCAGCTGTTCCACTTCTCTCTCCCTAGGAGAGAAATAAGTAAAAATGTTGATGTCTTCGGTCTACTGCTACCACACAAATTTGAAATCTCCTAAGGAAATTGCATTTAGATTAAAATCTATTTGCCTTAACAGCAAGGTGTGAAAACAGACATTAGTGACTAAAGGGAAAATTAACATTTAATTAATTTTTTTAGTCATTTAATTAATACCAGAAAAGAGGAAACATTTTCTTTTGATAGGGCGAAAATGTAAGCAATACTATAAAAAATGACTATTAGATTCACCACCAGATCAAAAGAGAACAAGTAACTTAATTTCTAGTCATGAGACAACAGTGTGTTGCAATGGTCTTGATGCTTTCTAATGTACACATTTCTTTTTAGCACTGAATAATATGCCACTGTATGTCTTTTCTAAAAAAGAATACTAAAAAATTTTTAAGAAATTTAAAAACTACTCTTCTTTTTTTAGTTCAAGAAAGTTCAGAACTATATTATTAGCTCTTCTTTTTAACATGTTGTCAGGTATAGGTAAAACTATAGTAATTATTGACCCAAGGAAATCAAGGAGAAAACAATAAAAAAATGAGTTAGACTAAAAAACATATTCTTTTTTTTTGAAAACAGAGTGCTTTACACATGATATCAACTTGATTTTAGAGAGAAAAGAATTCATCGGCCTCTTTACTGACTATGAAAAAATGATTAGGTACTTGACAGTAAAAAAAAGGGAGAGGTGACCATATTAATTCAGATATTGTTTATGAAAAATTCCAGAAGGATACAATCTAAATTTTTGATTTAACAACTAGAGAGCAGATGTGAGTTAATGTGGAGAAACTACTAATTATACACACCAAGGGAAATCATTAGAAGTGCCCGCACACATATATAAATTAACCAGAATCTCTCTGGGGGTACCCAGATCAACACTGAAGATGACTGAAAGGAAGTGTTTGTTGAGGTGGCAAAAGGGAGAAAACAACATATCGAGCCTCACCATGCAGGAAAAATTTCACTACCTTCAATCGGAAATAAATAACTTATATTTTGAAGTGGTTCAAGTATTGAAAGATAGTATTAATCCAGAATAATTTAACTACTAATAAAAATTGTTTATTTTTTGGTCAGTCTTGTGATAAGTTAAAGAATCAAATTTAATTATCTGATTCTGAAATTCATACACAATTTATTTTTATTATCAGACTATATAACACATGATAACAAGGGGATATATACATATATATACTATTTAATAGCTTCCAAATATCTAAAATGAAAAAATAGAATAAAAGGATATGTTTTAATATTCCTGAGATAACACTAACATGTTAATGCCTTGTAGTGTGTAGAGTTTGAATATAACTTATTTTCCCTAAGTATTATTTAATATTTATAGTATGGGTATTATGTAGGCTTCACTTAATAATTTAGACATTTAATTTTGTTGATTTTTGATTGAATTGAACTTATTTTTATAAACATTTTAGATTTACAAGAAATTGGTAAGATACAGGAGATTTCTGAGATTTTCTACACACTGTTTCTCCTATAATTAAGACCTTACATCAGTATTTTACATTTTTTCACCCTTCATGGACCAATGTTGATAAATTATTAACTGAAACTCATAATTTATTTAGAATTCCTTCATTTTTATTTAATGTCCTTTTTCTCTTCCACAGTCTCATCCAGGACTCTGGACTGCATCAACTTTCCCATCTCCTTGGTGTCCTCTTGGTTGTGACAGCATCGCAGATGTCCCTTGTTTTTGATGGCAGTGACAATACTGAGGATTCCTGTACCTTTCTACTGGAATCTGTGTTAGGTTTTCCTCATGATTATGCTAAGCTTATGGGTTTGGGGAAGAAAGATCACACAGGCAAAGTGCCACTGTCGTCACATCATATCACGGCTATGTTTTGCAACATGATTTGTAACTATCGTTACTGACTGTGGTCATTTACCAGGTTTTATCACTGTCAACTTACTCTCCCTACCTATTTCTATATGAGTCCATTTGGAAAAACTCACTGTGTGCATACACCTAAGGGATAAGAGGTTATGCTCCCTTCTTTTAAGGGTAGAGTATCTACATAGTTATTCATGCTATAATAATAGTTGTTTTGTCTGCATGTATTTTTAATCTCCTGCTGTTATAATTACCTAGGAAATTTTAGGGTTGACCCACTACTTCCATTCTGAAGCTAAAATTCATGAAGCTAGTATAGGCCACACGGCAAAGCTGAACCTCAGAAGCATCATCTGTAAATTGAACAGATTGCATGAGCCGAATTCAGTGGATTTTAAGACTCTGTAAGGCATTCTACATTAGTATGCATGGAAGAGTTTAATTTTGTTATTAGAATATTTAGATAACTTACTGATGGTTTCAACTACATCTTGAATATCTTTCCACTTATTATGTATATTGTCACTCATTATTTTTTTTGTAAAATGTAAAATTAATATTTTCCTTGATCTGTTTTTTCAAAAATCTAGTAACCTACAGTTCCAACATTAATTATCCAACAAGTAACTAAGCAATATCTTATACAACAGTAGTTTTGTACCAATGTGCATACATACTATATATACACACAGTTAACTTGTACCATTAGTATAAAATCCTATTATTATCCCTTCTCAGCCTTTTGGTTAAGATGAAGTATAGTTTCTGTTCTTATCAGTTTAAAATCCTATTACATCCTGATATATTTCTTAATATTATTACCTCCATGGGATTATAGGGTAAGAGCTATGTGCTCTGTCATTTCATAACCAAGATGCCTCTTAGTATGGAACATGTATTTAGTAGATGCTCAATAACTTATTTTTTAATATATTTTATTGATTATGCCATTACAGTTGTTCTATTCCCCCCTTCATTCATAACTTATTTTTTTATGTCTCATATGTCAGTTTCAGGACATTTAAAGAACATAGAACCTACCTTTAAACATATATAGTTTAGCCCTGGCTGGTGTAGCTCAGTGGATTGAATGCTGGAGTACAAACCCAAGGATTGCTGTTCAATTCCCAGTCAGCGCTGCAGGCTGGGTCCCCAGTTGGGGACATGTGAGAGGCAACCACATGGTGGTGTTTCTCTCCCTCTCTTTCTCCTTCCCTTTCCTTTTCTCTTAAAATAAATAAATAAAATCTTAAAAAATATATATATATAGTTTATTGTAATGTAGTTATAAAGTTAGAGAACTACATCTCTAATATTGTATTTCATTTAAAAAAGCATGAAAATATGTGATAAATCTGTGAGTATCAAAGGAATTTATCATCTAGATTAGAAAGAGGAATATGAAGTCTTCCTAAATTTGTCAAAGATTGACTCTTGTGCTAAGTAAAATGATATAGAATTATTTAAAATAGTTTTGACAAGAGGAGAGTATCTAGGGAAGTGTGAACATTGCTAAAGTGGAACAAAAAGATAAGTAAACAGAATCAGATGTTAAAAGATGTTATAGGTGACGCTATGCAGCATATTATCTTAAATAGCATAGCAATTATAGCACATGTAGAGCAAATATTGTAGCAAATGAATGACTTTTAAGTAAGGTGGTGATATAAACAGTTTCATGTTTTAAAATATTGTATTTTGGTAGCTGGTTGGAGGTGGTAACTAGGAACAGGTCATAACTGATTTATTAAGAAATATTGAGATAATTCCGTTGAGAAAATATTGAGCCTTTCTAGTTAGACTAATTATGTTACTGAAATTATACATCTGTGTCCTTCCTGGCTATATGTCTTTGAAGAACATCCCAGTAGAACCTGTGAAATATATTTCTGTGGTCAACTAAATTGAGCTTGACCACTTGACTTGCTTTGGTCAATGAAATAAGGCAAAAGCAATAGTATGGTAGTGCATGGTCAGTAATTTAAGAAAAAATTCAGGTTTCCACTTGCCATTATATGTTGTTGCTATTCATCATGAGAAGAACATGTTTCAGGAAGCTTCTCAGCTAGACTGAAGAATTATGTGAAACAGATCTGACTCCACCCTGTAGTCTGGAATCAAATCAAACAGATATTAGCCAAATAGAAAATCACCTGCAGATTTTTGATAAAAAAATAAATGCCTTTTGCTTTAAAACATTGTGTTTTACTTCTTCTATTTTTCTTCCCCTCATCCCCCTCCCCTTACCCTTCCTCCTTACTCTTCTTCCTTCTCCTTCTTCAAGTGACAACAAAGTAATATACAAATAGAGATGGGAACACTTTAAGGATACTTTGTTATGTTGCTAGAATTGACAGGACATTTTATTTATTTATTTATTTATTTATTTATTTATTTATTTATTTACTGAAAGGGGGAAGGAAAGAGAAAGAGATGGAGAGAAACGTAAATGTGTAGTTGCTCCTTAGGTGTCCCCAACTGGGGACCTGGCCTGCAACCCAGGCATGTGTCCCGACTGGGAATCAGACTGGCAACACGTTGGTTCACAGGCCTGCACTCAATCCACTGAGCTACACCAGGGTGACAGGATATATTTTTTAATTGGAAGTAAGTTGCATGGGGGAAAATAAGAATAAACTTTGTCTTTAGATTTCTGGCTTGGATAATTTAACATAGATAATAAGGGTTATTAAGTGATATACACTGATATTTATTAATCTTACCATTTCCTTTCATATCTACATTTATTTTTCATCTCTATACTCATAAAATTTATTGCCTTTTAAACTTTGATCTTCAAACTTATTTAACTCCAAGATTTTAATATATCCTTGTCATCCTCCCCAAAAGAGAGAATTGTCGCCCTGATGCAGTACTGTCATGAATATCTACCAAACAATACTGACCATAATGTAAACGTAGGCAAGCATTCTGTGCATATCGTGAGCTAGTTTGTGTTCATTGCCTGGTAAAGAGAAGACATGAAAAACCACGTGAGATATATGAATAAGGGAATGAAGTCTGTGTGAAGAGAAGTAAGGGAAGAAGGGAGGAAAAGTGGTAGAATTCTTTAGATATTATACAATAATAATTATTATATAATAAGTATATATTTACAATACTAATTGTGGGTTTTTTAAAACATTTCTATAAATATGTGTGCATGTCACTTTTTAAGCACAAGCATGTTACAAATGCTATATAAATTATAATAATTTGAGGATGAGATTTTAATTGAAATAATATATGTGTAGACATATGATGTAGAGAGTATAAATCATTTTAGAAAATAAAATTATAAATGTGATATTGTGATGTGGAAAATTATTTTAATCTGTTATTTTACAATGAATGGTCATAAAGAAAAGGTCTCAAAAGTTACTTTTGCACATATCTCCTTCACAAAATTAATTGCAGTTTGTAAAAAAGTCGTTTTCATAATTCCCAACTCATATCTTGTGGAATCTTAAAATAAACTTGAATCTTCTGTTTGTGTGTATATGTTAATATATGAGTTATATATTCAAAAAAACTTGTAAAAAAGTATAATTTAAACTGAAAAAAATTAGTTTCATTGTCTCAGAACTAAAAATTATAAACTACTCAGGCAATTCATTGTAATATATTATTAAATATCAAACAGCATTCCAGAAAAGGTACAGAATGCTTTTTTTTAAGTTATCATTTTATTCACATTTTTAAAACAATGCCATTTTCAAAAAGGAAAAACACACCTATTTTTTAAGAAACCTTTAAATATCACTTGAAAACCATATTGTTTTATTTATAACAAATTGATATTACAATAGTATTTATAGATATTGATATATGTCTGATGTGCAAATAGCACATCCAATTTAATAGGTGGGCTGAAGAAAAATTATTTCTAAAAATGTATAACTAGGTAAGTGCTAAGATACTTATGAGTGTAAGCTCATAAATCTATTGGAGAATAGGAGACACTAGTTCAACTAAACCAGGTATGGTAAAGATAGCTTTCTACAGTAGAAGATATCTTCAATAGAAATATAAAATAGGAAGAACTGAGCATGAATTAAAAATCTAATCAAAAACTAAATTGTGAATTTTCACAAATAATTTAAATATGGAGACAAATTACTAGATAGGCATATGCACGCCAAAAATATGTAACACAAGTTACAAATTGCTAATTTGATCCCCACCCTCATGTTTACAAAAAATTCACTTAAAAAAAGTACATTGGGATACAGTACATTTAATAGTCTTTCCTTAATAATTTCCAAATGTGTACAGATGTTTATATGCAAGAGACACAAGAGACACTACTGGCTACTTGTAAGCAATGACAAGCAATCAGAACTAATTATAAATAATAAAGTTATGATACTATCCCTTCTGTTAAGTAGAAAAAAGAACATAATTGTGATTGATTAATTTGTATATGTGCATGTGTGTGTAACCTCATAAAATAATCAATGTAGAAAGAATTCCTTTTAATGACTAATAATTCAAAGAACAAATAAAGACAGAGAAAGACAAATACCATATGATAAAAGAATACACTTTTAAAAATATACAAATTTTGAAAAATAAGAAAAGAGCATTCCATGTTGTATTCACAGAATTTTAAAAATTATTAAAATAAAGCTTATGTCTTTATATTCATATTTACACTTTACCTTTTTGTCAGAGGAAAATTATAAAAATATATGATAACATTACATCATGGCAATTCTGTAATGAAGATTTTATTGTAATTTATGACAGGTTTACAACAGGTATCAATTGAAAGCTTTATTTTTCCTAGGAGAATTTACTCAACAAGCAATCCCTAGGAGAAATAAATCTATGCATTTGGTGATCAATCCAACTATTCTAATCATAATGATTAAATAAACAGATTCAATCTTCATTCACATTATATCTCCTAGATATTTGACACTATAACACTGGGAGATGAAGCCAGTTTATTGGGGCCAAAAACTCTATGAATTGTATCTAATTACTAACAAAAGTCGTGGTAGATGCAGTTAGGATTCCGTGATTAGGGACTCTGGAAGTGTCTGGCTTCTCTTGCTCATTGGTTAAGTGTTTCCTTGAATTTATGAAGTACACCTTATAATAAATTTGGGATAGCTTGAATGACTTTCTAATCGTTGACAATTTTTTTCCTGAGGGTTAAAATAATTTATTAGGTAAAAATCTATGCTTTGGCTACCTTTCTTTCACAAGATATAGATTTTATTATTAGTTTATATATATATAAATATGTCCAATACCAAAACTTTTACATTTTTATATAAAAAATAAAATTCATCTTTAAGCCAACTGCATATTAAGTATTGTATTATACAAGCAAAATACAAAATACTGTATTATTTAATAATTTTATTCTCACTTTTAAATTTTTGATTTTTTTAATTTGCTTTTATGTCTCTTTACCTAGCTCTTCTAACTGCAATCACATCTTCTTTCTTTTCCTAATATATTGCCTTTCTGTGGATATTACTTTGTGTCTGTTCACTGTATTATTGCATCAAGTTTTCTAATGTCTTCATTTACTTTTTATGTATGCGTACAAACATGCACAGAAACATTATCAATATAACAAGGACCTGTCATGTTCTGATAACAATCTGAGTTACATTGTCCAGTATGGTGTCCACATGGTATATGAGGGAATTCAAATGTTTTGAATGTAACCAGTTGGACTGATAACCTGTGAGGGTAAAATAAGCACCAGATTTTTAACACTTCAATTACAGCTAAATGGATGAATAAATTACAGTTAGAAAAAATGAAAAATACTTTGTTAATATTTTATATTGATTATACACTGAAATATATTATTTTAGATATATTGGGTTGCATAAAATATATCATTAAAATTAACTCAATCCTTTCTGGACTTTATTTAATGTAATTCCTTTAGTATA